CTCAGTTAACGGAATTTTAGCCACAATATTGTTTGATTCGTGGGCTACCCGATCATTCGTCTCTCTTGTGCTTAGTAAGATGTTTAGCAGAGCTCCAGGGGATCTAAATTGTCCACTTGAGGTTGAGATAGCAGCTAACAGGACCATTAGGGTGGCGAGAGTACACAGAGGATGTTCTCTACAATTATTCGATGAGCAATTTCCGGTGGACTTGGTCCCTATTCCCCTGCGAGGGAATAAGGTTATAGTAGGCATGGATTGGCTGAGCCCCAATAGGGCAGTGATAAATTGTGAGCTATAGTTAGTGAGGGTTGATATGGGCATATTTAGTTATAAAAATCATGCATTATCTTAATACTCTTTGTTAACTTTATCTAAAATAATGAACCAAAGGTGCTTAATTAGCTTAAATATTTCATTTTCAGTAACAAAGACATGCTCGGGTGGAAAAGGAAGCGGAACTAGCTATTGGAAGCTTGGATCGTGGATTTTGAAGAAAGAAGGATGTTGTTGGACAGCTTGACCCCTCGTCAGTGTTTTGGCTTCCAACTTGAATTATATGCATTTTGGTACCCGGATGGTTTGTTGTGGTAGTTTTGGAATTCTCCTGTGGCATTCACATGCTCTGCATCTTCTTAAAGGATGGGACACATATCCGTAGGATGTCCCATGGTTGCGCATATTCCACAAACCATCACTTGTGGAGTTTGTCCCATGGCTAGCTTTTGGATGACAGATGTTAGATCTTTTATTTGAGACTCAAGATTCGATGTTCCCACTTCATTAACTTTATGTTGTGTGTCTCTCTTCATGTCTTGGCGAGGGCCAAAATGTTGTGAATTTGCGGCTATGGTGTTGAAAAGTTGTCTTGTTTGTTGTGGGGTTTTACTAAAGACATCTCCACCACTTGAGGCATCAACTAGTCTTCTCTCCATTGGCAACAATCCCTCATAGAAGTGTTGAATGAGGAGTTGTTCCGGAATTTGGTGTTGTGGGCAACTATAGCACAAGTTGTTGAACCTCTCCCAATAATCATGGAAAGTCTCATTTTGACCTTGGCGGATTCCACAAATCTCATTTCGAAGACTTGAGACTCTTGAGGCGGGATAAAACTTGTCGAGGAAAGCTCTTGCCATGTCGGTCCATGAGTTGATCGACCCCGGTGGAAGATAGAATAACCAATCTTTTGCTCTATCGGCCAATGAAAAGGGGAATGCCCTTAGCTTAATTTGGTCATCGGTTGACCCTTGTGGCTTCATGCTAGTGCAAATAATGTGGAACATCTTCAAATGCTTATGAGGGTCTTCATTCTCCAATCCATGGAAAGTCGGTAGGTGATGGACTAAACTTGACTTCAACTCCGAGCCCTTCCAAAACCGGGTAATTGATACCGGTTGGAGTTTGTGTAACATCGGTCTCCATCATTTGCCTCAAAGTTCTTTCGGGAACTTCTCCTCCGTCCGCCATTTCAATTGGTTCAATAATGGGTGGATTTTGTTGTAGGGGTGGTGTTTCGGGAATTTCTTGGCGAAGGTCGGGACTAGAATCGGGCTCTATGTCGCTTAATGAAGCGGTTTCGACCTCCGGATCCCCGTGAGGATTAGAAGTTTGACCACGTTCAATTCGCTTTTCCTTCGCCAAACGCCTTGCTTCTTTTTCGATTTCTGGATTGTAAATCAAGTCACCTGTACGCTGAGATCTGGGCATAGAGAAAAAATTGATTAAAAATAAACCAATCCCCGGCAACGGCGCCAAAAATTTGGTGGTTGTCGAGGCCAACACAAATAATAACCCTAATTATTACACACTAAAATAGTGTATAGTGGTAAAGGGATCGAATCCACGGAGACTGGTTCAATTTGATAACTCTATGAAAAATCTCTTTGTAAAATACTTGGAATATGACAATAAATTAAAAATGGGGGTTTTGATGTTTTGAAATACTTGAAACAAACTAGAATTAACTATGATTTAAATAGACAATTGCAACAAAAATAAGAATTTGATGTAAAATCAATAAGGGAAAGATGGTTGACTTAAAGTTTTCTCACTTTGACTTTTGATGAACATATCATTAGAATTCAATGGTGCAATACTTGTTTTAAATCCTCAATTTGGCTATAGTAATCCAAGGAGCTTGAGATTACCTAGACTTTTCTTAATTGTTGAAATGGCTAGAGAAGCTCATAACAATTTCCTTAGTCAAAGTCACTAATTCCAAATAGCATGTAATTAGTGAAAGTCAACTAGCATTAAGAACCAAAAAGTCACCAAATCCAAGAGGGGTCAAATGCTTTCACCACCATGTTGGAGGAAATGTTTTTATGATTGTGTGAAGCAAAAACAACACAAAAATCATTTGTTGCTTGCTAATTTGAGGATCCTTTACTTAATCAAGAAATTAGCCAACTAATCACCACAAACACATTTAAACTCATGAACTAAAACATACAAGTAATGATAAGATGTTAAAACACAAAACATTTCCATAAAGATTCAAGAACATGTTCATGGATTCTTCAACATTCAACAAAAGTTCAAAGGATTAACCAAAAGTCAACCAAGATTAGCTTAGCCAAGCATGGCTAAACCAAAGAAACAAAGTTAGAGAAATTTGTACCAAACATTAAGCAAGAATCAAGAGGTAAAAATATGATGTTCTTCAAGGGTTCTTGGCCTTCAAAAGTCTCCAAAACTCCAGAGAGAATCTTCAAAAATCGGATGTCCAAGAGTATGCAAAAGATGGGCACCAACCTTCCTCAAATAGCTCAAAAGAAGAATTTCCGAAATTGCCCCTGCAGGGCCTTGCGCGACCCGCGTGCTGCTCGCGGGTGGGTTGCGCGGGTGGTGCCTGACATGGGCTTCTTTGAGATTTTGGGCCTCTAAAGCATATCCCACTAGCCCAGATCGAATCCAATCACCTCCTAGCCCATTTTCTTCAAGTTTTTCTTCATTTAAGCCCAATTTGACCTCTCCAAATCCTCCAAAGCTCGTGAACTCGCCCGATTAATAATTTCATACGCTTGAATGTTCCCCCGCATCTTGCAAATTTAAAGTTTATTTCTCTCCAAGTCTTCAAATAATCATCAAGATCACTCCATGCATCATCTCCACTACCCATCAAGCCCAACGTCATTTTTGTCTACCAAATCTCATCGCCTCCTATACGTCCCGAACACTCCCGCTCCGCTAGACCCGAAAACCTGCAATTATGCTCACAAGATTCGAGAGTACCCGAAATAGTCATAAAATAACAAAAAGGAAAATATGCATGGAAATTATCTAAATTATGAATGAAATATGCTAAAATAAACTATAAAAAGAAGTAAATAAAATGAAGCTATCAAATCACCCCAAGCTTAAACCTTACTTGTCCTCAAGTAAGACAAGACTAAATGAACTTGGGATGAACTACCCTAGAAATAAAAAGAATGGATAGAACCATGGAACCTGTTCGACGTTAGTCAACATGGTCAGAATTGATTTCGCTGCTATCTCACAACTTTTTCATCCGATGACAATGGAACCATAAACCACAGCCAGGACAACTCCTTTAGGTGAGTAAGGAGGGATGAGCAGTCGCAGCCTCAATGGAACATGTATACAATGAAGAACATCTGTAGTAGGGAGAAAGCAACTGGATGGGCTCGGGTGGAGCTCTTCTTTAAGTGCACACTCTGATCTCACATCTGCCGGTTTCTCTCATGTGTAACTAGGTTTAATCGCTCGGGCACCGTTGTAGGAATCAGTTCACTTAGTGTTGGCCCAAACCTCCCTGTAGTATCCGACTCGACAGTCTCTCTAACATCACCAATTTGAGAGAAAGAAAAAAAAAATAACAACTCGATCTATATACAATAAAACAGATCTATACAAATGAATATCAAACGTCGGGTGACTAAGATGTTGGGAAATTTGTTCAATAATTGAATCGGCCACCTATCTAAGATAGTTGCAACTGAAAATTTGCATGCTTCATTTTGTTTTTGTTTTTTATTTTTTTTGTTTTTTGTTTTTTTTTTTTTTTGTTTTTTTTTTTTTTAATCAAGTAAACCCTTTGACTCAAAATTTGGTTCCCAAAGGTGTGTAGGTGGAACCGAAAGGGTAATGATATAATCCGAATGGCCTAAGTGTGAAAATGACCATGTGTGGAGCATAAAGATGTAATGTAAGCTCCTTTTCAAACTTGTGGTTTTTCAAAGATAATGAAAATGTCCAAATGTGGACTAAAAGACTCTCTAAATTCTAAGAAAATCGCAAAAAGATATGGTGATGTAAAGAGACCGGATATGGATTCTACTCGGGGACAAGCACCAATGCTTATCCTAACAGTTCAAACATGATCAAGTGTGATCCTCTCCGCGGTAGTGACCGCAAGGCTAAGAACACCCATTGCTATAGTATATCCTACAGTTGTTAGTATTGTATGCATAATTCTTCATGAAACTACCTGTCCATGATCACTTACCCCTTTAAGCTACCAGCATCTGATCCCAAGTATGAAATCCCAAACTGCAGCTAGTGGTCCCGATTCGATGGGTGAGATAGCAAAAGATCCTGGACCAATAATGATACAATAACTATGAACCTGTTCCATGGCATCCAAGAGAGGTGAGAATAAACAGACAACAAAAATGCATGAATGCTAATGTCTTAAGCTAAATGTTATGCAAAAATAAAAAGTAGAAAAGAAGAAAATAAAATCTTTTTAAATTTTAATAAAATAAAAAAAATGAATGCAAATTAACTTAAACTAATATGTTATGCAACCTAACTAAAAATGCATGAAAAAGAGTAAGAAAAAAAAAAGGGAAATGCCCCACCCCAAGCTTAAGAACAAGCATTGTCCTCAATGCTTAAGGAAAGGGCAGAGAGGACCTAAATCGGGGGGTCGGGCGGCGGGAAATGCCCGTGGCGATGGTGGTAGTCCCACATATCCTGGAGCTGGCGGGAAGTGTGAGAGGAGGACTGCTCCAATCGATCAACACGACTTGCCACATCTAGGATGGCTCTCGAATTCTCTTGCGTTTGGGCGTCGATACGCCGCACCGTGGAGAACATTGTGGTAAATTGGTCAAAGAACGTGGGGGGGAAATATGGTGGGACTTCGTGTCCCTCCTGCTGATGCGGCTGGTCAAAATGTTGTGGAGGGGCCTGGAACTGATCATGCTGAAACATCGGCTGCTGCATCGAGGGCTGGTCAAAATGGTCCTCAGCTTCGGGCATCTCGTCGTCCTCTTCATCATCTTCTTCCTCTTGTTCCTCTGCGCATCACCCTCATCATCACCGAATTCTGGGAATACACCTGCTTGGGTCAATTGATCTGGAGGAAGCCAAGTGTCGGGGTCGCCTGTATCGAATGAAGAACCAATCCAACTTGGCAGGATGTAAACCGGGGCTTTGTCAGCGTCTAACCAACTGTACGTGCGGGTTCCCCGATCGAGCAACATCTCCATCCGGATGAGAGTGTCACAATCTAGCAGGAGGTTCGGTGGGGTGTCGACAGGTATGTACTCGGGATCTGGGAAGTCTAGGCCGACGGCTCGACCTATGATCGTGATAAGTCCCCCGATGAAAATTTCCCCTGAGGAACGTTGGCGTATGGAGTCACATTTGTCTAAAAAGAAGCCTGAAAAAACTGAGGGAGAGTGCACGCCTCATACTTCGGAGGAAAAATAGCTCACATCTGTTGATTTGACCGGGCTCGAGACGCCCGAAGATACTCGTCGTAAGGACTCGGTGAGCAATTCGCCAACAGGGGTGAACGATGTGCTTGGCTCGCTGTCGGCTTGGGTTGAAGGTTGGGAGACCGGAAATTTGCATCCAAAAGTTTGCATCAGGGCAACGTAGAAAATCTTGGTACTATTGATTTTGGGGGCTGATGCGGAATGGATCGTCTATACCCATGATAGAAACAAGCTCTTCGTATGTGAGTCTATGATGCTCCCCTTTCAACTGGAATGTGAGGACTTCTGTGTCATCATCTCGTGCATATGTGCTAAGAAATTCCATTGTGGGTTCCTCGTAAGTTCTGTCACAAAGTCGAAGAAAACCACGCCAACCGAGTTTTATGAACAAATGGTATACACCATCATGCACCCCAAGCTTTTTCATGGACTTTTTATGTTTAGAATTTGTCGGGCCGGATTGCGCGACCCCGAAGATTGGAGCGATAGGTT